CCCCCCCCCCCTGGACTTCTCGAAAGGGTTCAACCACCGAGTTGAGAGAGAGGAGAGAAAGAGAGACACAACGAGACTTCGCCGATATAAACCGGCGAACCCCACATCCTGCATGCTCTCGGAACGCGATCGCGCGGCAAAGTACCTCGCGGGCGGGGTTTGAAGAGCAACGACCGAGACAGATAGATGCAGCGGCCAACAGCGTTCTCAATGCGAGCGCGCTACTCCGGGAGAGAGAGAGGGAGGTATCGGACTCGTCCTCGGGTGCTTTCGGCCGGCGCACTCCGAGGCGATTTCTGTTTCGCGCGATGCTGTTATTGGCTGGCTGGCTGGCGCCGCCACCAGACCCTCACTCCGGACCGTGCAACACCAGTTCCGCAAGCGTGGTGCGCCGATAAGCTACCGCAGATGGAGAGCTGACTTGTTGTCGGTGTCCATGGTCCGGCGTGTACCACAAATCGTTGCGTTCGTTCGACGTCTCTCGCGGAAGAGTCTTGATCTAGCGCGTGTTCGCTGCGCCGCTCCGTGTATATCTTCACGCTCGGGCGGGCTCCTACTTCCTCACCGTGTACGCCAAGCGCAAGATTTTATTTTGGCAACAAATCAAGTCTCAAACAAATCATTCGGTTTTTGCTTCCGAGACGATTGCTGTTGGCGGATTTTTGGTCGGCGACTCGCGTGATCGTCGCTTCGCAACTCTGACTTCGGGTTCTGCACAATTGACGCACAACTCTCTCGTCACGCCTTCGCGACTCGATCTTAGCGAGGGTACGATCTGAGCGAAGGTATGATCTGAGCGAAGTTATGATCTTAGCGAAAGCATGATATTAGCGCAGGATTGTAAGCATGGCGTAGGAGCCACAGCAACTTTGGCACAAAACACAGAAGCCCACGGATCCCTCCCTCTGCCGCCAAGCCAGGAGCCAATGCCCCTAAGCAAGGGCTGGCATGGTTGATGAGGTATACACGCAGAACAGAGGAATCACGCCCGAAAAAGGGCCCGCGCGCACTAAGAATTTTTTAACAACATCAGAAACAGGAACAGCAGCAGTGTGCAGCGTGGTGGTTTCTGTCTCGAACGAGGGCCCGGAGGAAACTACTGCTGAGTGCACTCAATATCACAAACACTGACCAAAAATCGGGTCTCGACAAAATAACTCTCACTCTCACTCACCTAACCCAGCGTTTTTCTTCGGCCGACTTTCCGGCCGCGATCGCCATGATGAGAGCCATCAGACCGTCCTCACCCGAGCACGGCGAAGGCTTGTCGTTCACCAGGCAGTCGCAGAAAGCGAGAGTTTCCTGGATGTACGCCTAAAGCAGTGAAGGCACCGGAAAACGTTGACGTCCGGGGGGAGGGGAGGGAGAGGGGGGTCGCCATGCATGGTAGGACAACGCCACTAGGACTGGGTCCAGCCTGTGGGTAAGAAACAAACGGCCTTCGGGGTACGGTCTAAGTACATGGACAGCTAAAGACGGCCGGGGTGAGTTTTTCCAAACATGTGTCGCACGCAGTTGTAGACGACCGCCAGCATCCTCATGAATACAGTCTAGTATCTATTGTTGTGGGATCACAGAACAACACGCAACTCTTATTTTGGTTTGTTGCTGTCTTTCAAATCACCACAAAAACTTCTCGTAAAATCATTGTCAGGTACTACTGTGGAGCAGCACACGTGGAAATCCTTCAAAGCTGAACACCAGCAATGCCAGACCGAGATATACTCATTTCTCGTGCCCACTTGGAACCAACTTTGGAGCCCTTTCCGCTCTCAGCTTAGAAGAGACTAGTCCGAACTAGTCTCCCCCATCATCTACCACACCTTCCACATCTACCACTCCCGGAACACACCATATCTAGGCGGGCACACCGCCCCTCGATCAACCCACCAGTAATTAATCGATACACATTTTGTTCAGATCAAATATCGAAGGAGAGCACGTGGTCAAGATCAATCGCTCGTTGCAATTCGTTGTTTTGTCTGTCCGCATTTGGACTCAGATTTCGCTTGTTTGATAATTGGGGAACGAACACATACGGCTTGATTGCACCGCATTCACCTCCTTGTAGCGGCTCATGAAGAAGTCGTACGGCATGTCCGCGTTCCCGGTGAAGCCCTTGAGGTATACTCGGGCTGTGTTCGGGTACCTGGCAAAAAACGACCGACGAAACGAGGTGCAAGAATGGGAGGAGGCACGCGGGGCGGGAGGGGGTGGTCAGCAGGCGGGTGTTTCGACGGCATGAGTGTAGGAAACACCGCAGCAGCAGATTCTCCGACAATACGTGCCCTATCGCAGATTCGACAACACCCACAGCCCCGAGCACGCACAGCAGGCGAGGGGACAACGTGAAACATTCCCATGTTTGTTGCTTCAATTTTCGCGCCAACGCCACTGGGTTTGCAACGGTAGTCCTGGCACAACAGGAACCTACAGGAATTTTACGCAGAAAAAACTGCAGCGGCCGTAGCAGAAAACGACATACAGTTAGTTTATTTCTCACATGTTGTCGGTCTGGATCATCCCCTTCTTGCCCAGGGCCTCCGCACGCTGGTCGTACCTGCACAAAATACGGAAACGCGAACGAAAGGTGAAGATAAAGACTACCAAGGCAGCCACCCGAACAGAATCAGCAAGGGGTTCAACTGCATTTACCCAATACACCGGGGTGGGGGGAGGGGGCTCCGCCGAACATGCTACTAAGCACTGGTAGATATCATGATCCGACGAGGCGAACTGATTGATCTGAGCGACACTGGGTTTCCACTTTCTTGTTGGAGGGCATTTTTTCGCCTCTGCTCTGCCCTCATGGAGGAACAGCAGTCGTATTCTTCACTGACTCTTCGTGAAGAATAAGCCCCTTGTTCTGCAGGGGAACAACCAAACTTAAGTGCAGTGCATAGATAATCGCGCCTTCATGTCCTGCTCTACAGCAGGCATGCCAGGAGGGCCACATGATGCTTCTGGAGAAGAATGTGCTCGGCGGGTTCAACCCACGTCCAGTGCGCACCAATGCCAGAAGGCCTGCACGGTCTAGTGTGCACTCGACGGGGATGCACCCGCGCCGAGCACATTCTTCTCCAGAAGCATCATGTGGCCCTCCGGGCATGCCTGCTGTAGACCAGGACATGAAGAGTACACGATTCCCTTCCCGCGTCCCGGTTGTGCAAGACGCCAAACGCCCAGCTTTTCAACGCGCGCGCGAGCGCGCTCTTTCAACGTACACGCACCGTTTCTCTGCGTCACGTGACTCAATCGAAATCAAAGCCCAAACTCCTATCGCCATCAAAGCCGGGGGGCAAAGGAAGGCTGTATGAGTAATCAACCCTGAAAACATGGCGCGATGGATAACTCGTATCCGGAATTCGACCCGAATGCGTTGGGGTATGGAATGAATGTTGTAGAGCACACGACGACCGAAAGCAACTCAACAGACCAGTCCAGCGAGATCAAAGAAACTCATTGCACTATCTAGTCTCCGAACAGGGACGAGCCACGAACATCGGAAACCATCCTTTCAAATAGACTCTCTCTGTCTGTCTCACTCACACAAACACGCACACGCTCTTTCCCTGCGCTTCTTCCTTAAGCGACCTCTCTGTGCCCTCTATATCTACTGTACAGCCAGCTCACCCGTAAGGGGCCTGTCGGCAGACGTCGATCACCGCCGTTTTTCCGCTCTCAAACTCGACCATGATCATGGCCGTGTCGAACGCCTCCGGTCCATCCAGGGAATCGATTGCGTGGTCGATCTGGCACGAACCTTGGGCGAGGATTCGCTGTAGCCAGCCCCGGGAGAGAGAGAGAGAGAGCGACACAGAGAAACAGCAAGAGAGTGAAACAGCAGAAAGACAGACAGAGGGAACTAACAAAGGGGGAGCGAACCGAATCATATGAGCTCGTTACACAAACATGGCCGTCTGAACAACAAAAAGTTCGAAAACGAACAAACGTTTGCTCTCGCTGGCCGGTAGGCATCGTAAAAGGCCAGCCGGTGCGCCGTGCTGCCCCTCTTGAGGCTTCGGGGCAAGAAGCGTACGATCGGATTTGGCTTTTTTCCGCACTCCCTCGACCACCATGAGCCGATCCACAACGAACGGCCGGTCGCGCAAGGGGTAAATTGGTAGGCACATCCTTCTGCCAGATAATAGCGGGGCGGGCATTCCCACAATTAAGTCATCCATGATACATGCTGGACTCGAATCCAGTTCCCTCCCACGCTCTCAAGAAACACAACGCATAGTCAAAAGCCTACGTGCGTACACACAACATAGCTCATAACCATGCTTCGCTTATCCTTTCACGCCGATACGTTCTACTCTCATGATTTCCCAAAGAACAACTGGTTATCACTGCAGCGTTTTATAGCCCACTGATCTGAAGCAGCGGGGCCCAATCAAGCAACGGCGCCCTGAACCACAATCACGATGGCGAGAAATCCCAGCATGCCGACTCGTGCGCGCGTACCGTGGGTTCCGAGCCCATGAGGAAACGAGACATGTCCAGGTCGTGCACGGCCATGTCCTTGAAGATGCCCCCGCCTCCACGCACATACTCCACCGGCGGCGGAGAAGGATCCCTGGACGTAAGCTTTACCTGAACGACAAGCGCCAAGGCCACCACGCAAAGCGCGTACGACGGGGAGGGCGACAGGGGGGTGGCGGCCGGCCACAGCAAAACGAACGTTAACGAGGGACTGGGCGGATAGGGATGAGCGTGGTGAGTGGAACAGTGGCCGAGGGTACCACGTACATGCAATATCGTAGGTTGCAGAAGATCCCACTCGCCCTCACCGAATTTCAGATCTCTTTTGTTCCAGGACGAAGAGGATGCCGGTATCAAATGATACATTTTCGGAAAGCTCCCGACGAGATAGTTCCAACGCCGCCATTTCAGGCACCGTCAATGTTTTTCCTGCCGAGTAATCGAGCTTTGGAAACCGGTCCAGCGAGTATGATATCTTGTGTAACCTACGGTACACAACCGTTCGCATTCCGCGGGTCGGACTGCATTGTGGCAGGACTAATTTGCAGTCATGTCTCCGCGTTCGACCCCCCCTCTGGGACGAAGAAATGGGTGCCTTTCGATAGTTACAGGTATGACTACACGTCATGTAGCGTTTCAGGATTTGACCCCAACACCGGACTACACCTTACATCTCTGTTGTCAACGATCAAGTTCCGGGCGCCATCAATTGAATATTTTGCTGTCAAGGAATCAACATCCACCGAGTCCAGCGTAGGGTGGTCGGTCCTTCCTACTTGGTGAGAAACAAAATCAATCTGGACAAGACACGAGAGACAGCATCCGTGGAGAAAACCCGCACAGCACAAAGTGCAACGACAAAATGACAAAAGCATGCACGAGCAACCCGAACAACGACTTTCGTTCCACCATCCTGCACCAAGCCCGGTAGTCTGTGTGCCTTCCACCGAGACATGCACAACGCACACGGTGCATGAGAGCAAAGCACCCTGCACACGCCACAGCGCACAGAGCTAGTCCACACACACAAACAACAGCACACCGTGCCGCAAGTACCTTACGCACCAACAGTCCAGCACAGTTTATAAGAGCAGCACATACACATCCAACCTCCTGCGTCGCCTCTGACGGTAGAACCCTTACCCTTTGACTAGAAATTGGTCGTTTTTTTCATCTCGCTACATGTGCGAAACTGATGCTTGGTCAGCCGGTTAGCGAGGCCTCCGCCTAATTAACAAAACACACGAACACACCTGGATGACCTCGCCGACCTCTCCGTCTGCGATGGCGATCTTCACGCGCGCGAAGTTCGGGTCGAACCGCCTCTGCAGGGCGGTCATGAGCTTGACGTTGTTGTTCTTGCACGCGTTGATGGCCTCGATCGTCTCCGGCACGTCCGTGGCGATCGGCTTTTCGCAGAAGACGTGCTTGCCTTGAGCGGCGCACGCCTTGATCTATCGTTTTGTTCGTTCGTTCGTTCGTTCGTAGATTTTCCGGAGGGAGGAGAGCGTCGGCGCGTTATGGCGGATGCGGGAGGGGCGCTGGTCAACCAGCCCTGCTTGAAGACAAAAGCTAATACTCTGGTACGAGATGCAGTATCTTCGAAATGCTAGAGCACGAACGACGACGGCCGTGTCACCAGAAGGAGGTCAACGGTGACCCCCCCCCCCCCCCCCCCCCCCCCCCCCCCCCCCCCCCCCCCCCCCCCCCCCCCC